CTGTAGCAATTTGTCGCTACTTGGTGTTGCGTCAAAGCTCAGAAATTATAGAGCCTGGGCGAGGCTTTATTTTGGTTTACATCATACGAGGTGGTAGTATTCTTTTGTATCGCCTCATGCAAGCTGATTTCAGCAGCCTTTCGTTGTTTATCATCTTGTCGTTGCTTTCATCTTTAGCTAATGTATTCAGAGTATCAACGCAACGTTTGCGCAACAAGTTTTGGGCATTTGTTATTGATAAATTACAAAAAATATGTTGCGCAAACTTACGTCGCTTACCCCAAGATACACAGAACTCAAGACGTTTGAAAGCAGATGTTGAAATACAAAATATTCTTTTTGAGAACAACACCTTAATCATCAGTCAAGCATACTTGATTTTATACACGATGACAAGTTTCCAAGTATCTGAGTGGAATATTTTGGAAGAATCGATTAAACGACTCGCCATTGGATTATCCATAGAGTTTGTTTTCAATACAATATCCGTATTTATTTTTCTACATTGGTTCAACGTTCCCATTGCGCAGGTTTGGGCACAATGTTGGCGCAGACACGTTCTGGCTAATTCATTTATCCTTGTTATCATTGTGTGCAATTTTACTGAATTACTCGTTGCAGTTTTTCAAGTTCGTTTTCACCATTCCCACGAGACTTTTGTGGTGTACAATCTAAGAAACTGTTCTCTGCCTTTGTAAAGGCTCTTTTCCACTCGTCGCAAAATGCTCTCGCTGCGAGCTTGCGAGTCTGTTCGCGCGATCAAAAAATTTTGTTCAATTAATTTAACTATGCTGCAAGTCATGGTAAGCTCGCTGCGAGTAACTCGCAGGCACTCGCAGCGAGCTTGCGAGTACGTTTTGCGATGAGTGAAAAAGAGCCTTAAGAAACTGTTCTCCGCCTTTGTAACACATTGGTGATATACCCATATGATCTTAGAAGCCCGATGAAATATTTAAAAAAAGGACAATATTTTTCAGTTTTATGTTTTTAATCACAAACATGTTTCGACTTCACTAGAAGCCATCTTTAGGGCGAATAAATACGTGATTTACAATATTTTACATTGTATTATAGTTAACCGCAAACCACGATAAACTTTTTATGCTGTTAAGTATGATTGCCAGTTTTAAATTAGCACGTTTATAGATAGAAGTATATGCTTAATTTTCAACTCCATATCTCTTTGTTTTTGGCATGATAAATTTTATAGACTACATAGAGTTTGACAACTTTCCAGAAAAAGCACTTATGAAAAATTAGTCAGGTAAACTTCCGATTTGATATGCAAACAATTTACGGTGACGTTAGAAACATTTTGCTGCCTTGGTAAGGGAGGCGGGGAGAGGGGCATAAACTTAACTTGAAAAATTTCCGGGTAGAACACAAAGATGTCCTCCACTTTATGAAGGAAAACAAAGTAAGAGTGAACAGGTGACCCAATTTCAATTGCTGTGTTCAAAGACACATTTTTGTGGTGCTGGAGCTCCCTCTATTACTTTACGACGACACTGTTGATATAAGTATTGCCTTTTTATATCAAAAGACAAAATTACAGACAATTGCGTATTAACAGAATTCTGCAATATAACAAAAAATCATTTTAAGCCATTTAGTCAACTATTTGCATATCAGATATTGAATAGAAAGAGCTCGTAAAAAACGTTATAGCCCTAAACATGTTAGCTCTGCTGTGCTTTACATTGAACTAAGATACATGGAACGCTACCTAAAGCAAATAATTGAAGCCAAATCTTACACCCAGACACGCGAGATTACACCCAGACACGCGTGTTTGGGGTTTTAACATTCTGAAAATTGATTGACTACATACGCTTGTCTGTACGGTGGCTCACAAGGGACACCACACAAAATAATAAGAATTATACAAAATAAAGATATTAATAAATACACAAAATACATCACACACACACAAAATAAAAATACACACACAAAATAAAAATACACACACAAAATATGATCGCGGGCGCTTGCAGTGTCGGATAGCTGACTACTATCAGTTTATTATAAGGTTGTAATCAGATATGTGTAACTGTGATTTTAACATGTGGCCGACTAGTACTTGTCGTCGTATTTAACAGTTTTAACTGTGAAATATTTTAAATGACATTTTGAAAGGAATCGAAAGCAAGGTCTTGCGATACTGAAGTGAAGAATCAATAAGAGAAATAATAAGCAATTATTGGATGAGGTTGACCATGATATCAAGAATTATTCAGACCGAGGTCAATGTAACAATGTTATCGGCCGAAGCGAAGCTTAATTGAGATTAATTAAGAATTAATATAAGCACGCGTACTCAACTCCACCAACTCTCCAAGTTCATGCTCATGGCAACGACCAACTGTATGTATCAGTACTGATTATAGAGTAATCAGCTCACTCGGTCACAAATTTTCAGATAAATCCTCCACACATGCGCAGTCTGCTTCAGCATGCACAGTCGAATTGACCAGATGCCAAAGTTCATGGTCATCGCAATGACCAACTGCATCTACTAGCACCAATTTCGAAGTAAATAGCATGTTTAGTAACAATTTAATAGAAAAATCATCTGCGCATGCACTCGAGCATGCGCATTTCACTCGACTAATTGTTCATAGTCATGGCAACGACTAACTATATGTACTTGCTTTACATTTGTGGCAATTAGCTCACTTAGTCGCAAATTATCAAAGAAATCATCTGGGCATGCGCAGTATGACTTTAATAATACCACAACTTTCGTAAGCCTTTGTCTTTATGTATATACATATATATAAAGCTAAAACTTCATATAGTAGATGTCAACTAGCAGGGGAAGCTGGGTGCGATATAGTATGCAGTGGCTTAGGGGCCCAGACTTCGGTCGTGACCGCACTCTCCCTGCGTACCCCGAGCAAAGCCTATCGCAGGTGATCTCGGGGTCTGATGGGCGGAAGCTTGCTATTGGCATCTCCCAAGTAGGATAGCGTGGAGGGGCCGAAATCTCCTACCGAAACGTTAACATGCGGCGTTCTAGTGCCTTGCGCTTAAGAAGTTATCGGGAACTTCTTCTGACAGTGTGCCTTTTTCTCACACTTATTATTTAAGGTGATTGAACTCTCTCATTTACTGTTTCTCGTGTATCACGAGCAAACCATCCATGGGCTTCATGGCAAACAAGGATTATCTTGTTCACTTGATTAACATGCGACGCTCTAGTGCTAAACTATCTCGGGGGTATCGGGATGCATGGACCGAAAACGCGATATTTTGTTTTCAAAATTTATCGTTTTTCTTTACAAGAATTGTTCTCATAAAAGAAACTACAATATCCAAGGATACTGCAAAGGTTCGAACAACTTCTGCCTTTTTGACTTATAATTCAAACCAACTCTAAGCATGTTTATAAGTTTTTTACTTGTTACGTTTTACAATGTAATTTTCTCATGACTCTCTCGTGATGAACGAGAGCCTCCTTATACAATATAACTCTCTCATCATGAACGAAAGCATCCGAGGGCTTCATAGAAAAAAGGGATTATCTACTTTTTTTATAATAGTTTCTGCAAAGATAACATTTAATAAGCCAAGCAATTTTCATCGTCTAAATTGAACCTCGCTTTCAACCCTTATGTTATAAAATTTTGATTCATTTTGGATAGTAAATTTCTTTTTACCTTACAATAGTTTCATGATTCAGTCTGGAAAGTAACTTCCCTTCTCGAGTAATTTTGCGATTAAGCAGCATACTTTTCGGATTAAAAGGAATTCTTTTGATCGCATAGAGACAGCCGTCCAATTTATTACGTACCTAAGCGTGTATAAGCATTTCCAAATAACGTACAAAATTTCCTTCACGTGATCAATTTACCGTCTATTTAAACAATGTATGTAATAAAAAGTTACCTCGACAACTGAAGAAAACCCTCCTTTTTCCAAGCGTTTGCAACACCTCAAATTCATTGTGAAACTCTTGAATTTCTCGCAGCGCAGCCGAAAAGATTATGCATACAGTTTCCAAATACAACAATCGAAAGTTTCTACCAGCAAATGAACGGGAACTAATCCTTCTACAATCTCACGGAGAAGCGGCCACATTCTCTGCTAGTCCTTGTACTATCCCTCGTTAACAACATTCCTTGCAGTACTCTTCTCACAATATTCCATTTATATACACAAAGTTTGCAGATTACACTTTGAATCTTCTTGAATCTCTTGTGGTGATTGCTTCCTCTTTACTTTCGAAATCAACATAATCGTCCTAAAGGAAAGACGCTATACTCAAACGATGACCGCAATTTTTACCCAACACGCACTCAGCTAGAACGACCTTTTGTTTGAAATCTACTAAAATAAAAGATACAAAAATGAAATACTAAAGAAAGCAATTTCTCTTAATTTGAGTTAAATTGGTATCCAACAAACTCTAGCCAAGTGCTTTTATCGAGTTCAGATTGCAGAATGTGATAAAATGACATGTGCGTAGTTTTTTTGCATATTTCCTCTTCGTCGTACATGTACAAAAAAAGTCAGACCAAAGCACTAGTATATAGTAGTGGTACATCCTATAGTACAAGAAAAAATTGACATAATGAACGCAACAAAACGAACAAAACGAATGCAACAACATCAACAATATTAATTTGTTTCTTTCATGCTGACGTAGCTTTCCATGCCAAACTTGTTTCGCAGAAAGGGTTGTGACGTAGTAAATGCAATAATGTATTTCAATAGTGCAACTTGTTTACTACGAAATGAAATACAGTCAACTTTCTGCATTATTCGATCAGATTTGTTTAAGAAATCAAATTGTGATTGGTCAACTACCTGCAGATAATTCTCTATATCTGCAATTATGACGTCATACCTACAGATAATAGTTTCTACAAATATGTACGCAGTTCAATGCAGGTTTTGAAAAAATCAAAACAACGATTTTTACCACAGTTTCTAAGGACGATAAGGAAAAGCTTTGAGCAAAAAAGAAGTGGAAAACACTAAAAAAGCGACGAAGCTGGTTTTGAACATATTTACAGCTGCTTATTATCATATTCATTAATATAGTAAAAAATAACATTTTCTACATTCTAAACGAAAGCCCATTAAAAAACTGAATTTAGCGAAATAGAACAAAACATATCTTATTCATAGGGCAATAATCATCACCAACGTTTTTTTAAAAAGGCATGGAGCAGTTTCTTAGAATGTACACCACAGAAGTTTCCTGTAAATGGCGAACTTGAAAAACAGTAACAAGTGCCTGAGTGAAGTAACACACAATGATAACAAGGATAAATGAATTAGCCAGAACGTGTCTGCGCCAACATTGTGCCCAAACCTGCGCAATGGGAACGTTGAACCAATATAGAAAAATAGATACAGATATTGTATTGAAAACAAACTCTATGGATAGTCCAATGGCGAGTCTTTTAATCGATTCTTCCAAAATATTCCACTCAGATACTTGGAAACTTGTCATCGTGTATAGAATCAAGTATGCTTGACTGATGATTAAGGTGTTGTTCTCAAAAAGAATATTTTGTATTTCAATATCGGCTTTCAGTCGTCTTGAGTTCGGTGTATCTTGAGGCAGGCGACGTAATCTTGGCCAGCAAGTTTTCTGTAATTTATTAATAATAAATGCCCAAAACTTGTTGCGCAACCGCTGCGTTGATACTCTCAATACGTTAACACAAGATGAGAACAACGACAAGCTGATAAACAGCGGAAGGCTGCCAAAATCAGCTTGCATGATACGAAATAAAATTATACTACCACCTCGCATAAAATAAACCAAAACAAAGCCTCGCCCAGGCTCTATAATTTCTGAGCTTTGACGCAACACCAAGTAGCGACAAATTGCTACAGGTAACACAGCAAGAATGGGAGTAAGAATGGCTATAATGAACTTGGTCGTCTCGTTGTGGAGAGAGTTAAACCATGGTACTGCTACGTATCTGTAATACATAGAAAGCGTAAAACTACTCAGGAATTCAAGGGACACAACAGCAAAAACTTGACGATTAGTGTATAAAAGGTGTTGGAGTCTCTGTCGTGTTTTACACACAACGATTATGCAGCAAACAATAAGATTACCAACAAACAACAGGTTGCAGGGTACACGACTATAGGGATGCTGGTCATATTCATTGTACAACAACAGAAATGCTAAGAACAATGTCGCCGTCACGCCAGTGAGAAGTGAAAGAACTATCGTAGACGAGTAATACCGTCTAAAAATGTTCCAACCAAACAATAATATCAAACTCCCAGGCAACCACATTTCCAAAATAATCGTCTGTATGCCATCTCCGATAAGCTTCGCACGCATTACGGAGAATGGTATTGTATTATTGCTATGATTTTTCCACTCAAAACATAGATCGTAAGATTGGAGATCAAACCATACAAACAGTATTCCAGTCGAGGCTGACAAGAATATTGCTCCGATTATGTAGAAATTTGTTTTCAAACTTTTAACCAGAGATCCACGTAAGGTAGATGTATTTTCTTCGTTTCCCGTGGCGGAGTAGACGTCACTGTGTTGTGAACCCAAAAGATTGGCATTATCGTTCAAACCATTGTACTTCACCAAACGTGAATTTTCATTGTCACCGTTGTTCTCGCGCCCATTGCTTCGCGTGCCTGTTTCGCTTCCTGAAACGCTAGGAAAGTCTATAGTAAACGCTGAACATAGCGACAAAAGAAATGCGATAATCTCCTCAAACATGTTTCCAAACGTGAAATTGTCTTGTGATAGTACTTCTTATTAGCTACAGAAACTTGACTTCCGACAATGCTCGACAAGTAACGCAATTGTAAACGACCGTATGGCACTAAATCTAGTTCCTCCGCACTTGATTCTAATTTATAATAACTATCTATAGGCGTGTGAATTAATTTCGGACTTATGACCTCATGATCAAAATATCATCCACATGTTTACGTTTTCATAGTATGACGCAAGAGTCATGTAAACAAAATAATTGTTGCTATTTTGTCGACAAGATGCAAGTTGATTTCAATGGCTGCTGTGCTACAGAAAATATGCTTTGCAAACTTGCGTCGCTTTCCCAAAGATAGGCAGAACCCCGGACGGCTGAAAGCGGTTATTGAAATACAAAAGATTCTTTTTGAGAACAACACTTTGATCATCAGTCAAGTATACTTGATTCTACACAAGATGACAAGTTTCCAAGTATCTGAGTGGAATATTATTGAAAAAATCAATAAAAGACTTTCCATTGGACTATCCATAGAGTTCGTTTTCAATACAATATCCGTATTTAATTTTTTACGTTAGTTCAACGTTTTGGGCAGTAGGCACAATGTTGGCGAAGCTCTGAGCAAAATTTTGACACAGGCACGTTCAATTTATCCTTGTCATCATTGTGTGTAATAGTACTTAATTACTCGTTACAGTTTGATTAGTGAAACGCTTCATTTATTGCCTCGCCACGTTTCTTTCGAGTTAACCGCAAACCGAAATAAATCTTTGCATCCTGTCAAGTATGATCGTCAATTTTAAATTATTATGTTTTTATGCAGAAGTGTTTGCTTCGTTCTTCGACTTTAAAGACTTTGACAATATTCCACAACTGGTCAAATTAACTACTGATTTATTATGCAGCTAATTACACAGTTACAAATTAGGGTGTGACATCACCAGGACTTTCCTGCATGAAGGGAAAGGGGGGAGAGGTAGGAGCACAAGCTTAAACTTGAAAAATTTTTGAGTAGGACACTATAAATGAAGGAATACAAAATAAAAGTAAAAGATGACTCAATTTCAAAGACACATTTTTGTGGTGCTAGAACTCCCCCCCCCCGTCGACTTTGAGACGGCATTGATCATATCCGTATTGCTTTGAATAAAAATACCTAAATTGGAGACATGTTTATTAACAGAATTAGGCAATTTAAAAAAATTTTTCTCTTATCCAGTCTTAAAACAAAGAACAATTTCTGAGAACGTACTTGATCGAACTGTCTCCAGATGTTTTAAAATGGGTTCGAAAAACAGTGATCAAGTCTGCACTAAAATAAGCGATTACCATTAACCCGACCATTACATTAGCGAGCAAATGTCTTTTCCAGTATTTTCTCCAAACGCAACTTATAGGAACATTATAGCAATACATTTGCACTTGATTTGAGAGACAGTTGAAGATGAAGTCGATTCCAAAGCTAATTGCGACCCTTTTCAGGAATTCTAGCAGCAGAGGTTCCATGGAAATTTCAAAACTTTGAAGGTAAAAAATGAAGTAGGCTTGACTAAAAACTAGTGTGCTGTATTCAAATATAATATCTTGTATATCTAAGTCAGCTCTCAACCGCCTTGCATGAGCAGTGTTCCATGGTAAAACACGCAGTCTATGAAAACAGTGCATATTATTCAATGTTGCAATTATTCGTTTCCATATATTGAAGCGAATTTGTTGGGTTGCCTTTTTTACAAAGTTTAAAACTGCTGAAAACAACGACAGGCCAATAAAAAGCCAAATGCTTTTAAAGTTTGCCTGCAATGTTCTGTATAGGAATATAGCACCACCTCGGATAATGTATACAAGGATAAAAGAGCGACTAGGGTCAATAATATCGGAACTTTTTCTTTGTGCAAAATACTTACAAATTACGTTGAGAACAAGCCCAATCACCGGAGACGTTGCAGCAAGAAAAAATTTGAGGATTCCTTCTTGAACGCCAATGAAAGCGGGAATAACCGTGAATCGGATGACATAGCAAGAAATGGCGGAGACGACAAACTCAAATAGAACGATAGTAATTATATGGCAATTGGAATAGGCCACCTCTTGTTCACCAGAACGAATGTTATCAAGGATTAGGAAGCTTGAACATAGCAACGAGACACAGAATAAAATACTTGGTGGTACTCTGTAATAGCTATGTGCATCGTAAACATTGAACTGAAATGAAATCAAGTGATACATGACGGCCAACTCTCCGAATATGACACCAACATAAACCGTTGACAAAAACTTTGCTTTGAACTCTCTCCATCCAAATAATATCATCATTGTAAATGGAAACCATAAATATAATAATGAAGTTTCAAAGCAACTACCAAAAACGTGAGCACGTTTCACAGATAACGGTAATGTGTTGTTGTTGTGATTCTGCCATTCCAGACAACTGTTAAAGATATTTACGCTCACGTAGAGAAATACTGTGACAACAAGAGTTGGAAAAATGGTGGCTAAAGTCAAACTTGAAGTTGCCCAAAAACTTTTACACATGGAATTGGAAAAGGATCTCGATTGTTGAGAGTGAGAAAACCATTTTGTTTGCGGACTTTGATCTTTGTTGTCATTCAAATCATCCTCTTCGTATTCTTTGTTGATATACCACTCGCTCTGCACATCAATCCCAATATCTCTCACTTCAACACATGTGTGTTCGGAATTATTTTCCTCCAGAAAAGACACACGCGCCGTTTCGGTGAAAAGCGACAAAACAGATAAAATAAAAGCGATTAACTCCTCCAGCATTGTAAATTAGAGATTACTTCACTTCCACGACGAAAACATCTTATCATTAACTGAAAGTATAACGACAACATACCAATGGTATTTCCATGCTTTCATCAAACAAAAAAACTCCAAAGATATTTTCCGGCACTAATGCTTTCATCAATGCAGTGAAATAATGAAACACTTGCGGTGAAGGCGATTTTGTAAACCAATTTAAAAAAGAAAACGTCGCCATGTGACACTTGACTATGGAAAAACAGAACACTTGAGCTTGTAAAGAGCATTGTTCGCAGTTACACGATCGTATTTCATCATTTTCATAATTTCAAACGATTGCAGGTCAAGTTATTTACATATAAGTTGTTTGCACATAAACATGCGTAAAAATGATCATAAAGCAATGATAGCATGTTGACTGGACAAATCAATATGTACAACGTAAGAAATATATATGTGTCATTTGTACTAAACATTCCAAAGCAACTCGGCAACATACAAAGAGACATTCCTCACGAGCCGCTGATCTTCAGTTAGAAAAAGGAACAATTCTTGACGACGTACATAGAACTCTCTCCAGATTTTTGAAAATGTGAACGAAACACGGCCATGAAATCATCGTTAAAATATGCAATATTAGTCAACAAGAGAATTGTATTGGCCAACACGTGTCGTTTCCAGTTTTTTCTCCAGACGCGGCCAATGGGAAAGTTGTAGTAATACATTTCTATACAATTGGATAAGCAATGAAAGATAAAGTCAATACCAAAGGCAATTGCGATCCTTTTGAGAAATTCCAATGAAAGGGTCTCCGTGGCGATTTCAAAATTTTGAAACTGATAAAAAATGAAGAAGGCTTGACTCAAAACAAGAGAGCTGTATTCGGACATCATATGCTGGATGGCTAAATCAGCTCTTAACCGCCTTCCATGAGCAGTGTTCCATGGAAAAACATGCAATCTTCTACAACAATGGAAACAAGAAAAAGCCCGAAATACTCGACTCCAAAAGCTGTAGCGAATCTGTAGGGTTACCCGTCTTAAAAAGTTGAAAATCGCTGAAATCAACGAAAGGCTGACGAAAACCCAAGTACTTTTAAAGTCGGACTGCATTGTTCTGAATAAAAATATAACGCTACCGGGAATAATGTACACCAGGACAAAACTACGACCGGGATGAATGACCTCGGAACTTCTCAATAACGCAATATACCAACATACTAAATTGAGGAAAACACCAATAACTGGAGACGTGATAGCAATTAAAGATTTATACTCGTCTTCACGCACTTTGTCAAAAGCTGGGATGATCAAATACTTGTAGATGTATGAATAGAAACCACCAAAGAGAAAGTTTACGAGAAACAAAAACATGATATGTGCATTGGAATAGGAAATAACACGCCTGCCGGTACGCAAGGTTTTAAGCAACATTGAACACGCATAAAACAACGAAGCAAAGAACAAGATGTATGTGGGGATTCTGTAGTAATGTTTTGGACCATCGTTAACACTGAATTGAAAACAAATCAGTTGATAAATAACAAGTAATTCTCCAGATATAAGATATATATAAACAATCGAGAAAAACTTAGTCGTGAACTCCTTCCAACCAAGTAGCATCATCAAAGTAAGTGGGACCCATATATAAATTTCAAATGATTCCACGCAATCTCCCAAAACGCGGACGCGCTTTACAGATGATGGTAGCGTGTTGTTGTTGTTGCCGCGTTTCTGCCATTCCCAACAACTGTAGGTTGTATTCATGTTGACGTAGAGAAATACCATGGCAACAGATGTCTGTACGATGCTCGCCAAAGTGATCTTTAAGGTTGTCAAAATACTATTCATAAAAGAATCACAGAATTTTCTGCGAGTCATTTGCATGTTATCGATGACGGTTGCATTTTGAGATCTTAAACTGGACAATAGAACACTTGTTTCACTATAGTTGTCTTCAACACCGAGGTACTCATATTCTTTGTTCATGTACCAATTTTGAGCATTATTAGACTCAAAGTCCACATCAGTGATTTTTAGATTTTCGGTTTCCTCATCAAAAGACACTTGAGGTGTTTTGAAGAGTGAAAACACAGATAAAATAAATGTAACTATCTCCTCTAGCATTGAAATGACGATCGAATGAAGCTTTTTCACATATTCCACGTATAAAAAGCTGAATTATTGAACAGCAGGTAGAAAGATAACCAGAAGAAAGACTCAAACGAAATTTAATGTTTCGCAAAGCTTTTCCGTAGTTCTTAGCATCAAAACAAAAAAAGCCCGTCGGCATATGCAAATCTCATGATAATAAAATCACGAACTTTTTAACATATCACGACAGCATTCTAACGCTATTTCATTGGTCTTCATTACACACGTGACTCAACTTAATGTAAACATGAACCTTGGATAACACGTGCTTACCTTAAGACATATCACAACAAAGATTTCAATCTTTACAGTTTACTGAACACTTTGATAGAACTATGTCCACATGAAGTACCAACCATGTTTATCCAACAAGGAATATTACTCTAAAAAGGAAAGAGAACAAAAATAAACAAATATCTAACAACCGAAATTTGCAGCTTAATATACGTCACGGGAATATGATGTTGTGGTGGCGAGAGCTGAAAAAAAAGGGGGGAGGGGGTAAACATATTGAAGCTCATTCAAAGTCATTTTCACGTAACACTTATTTGATTGATGTTGCTAGCTCCAAGCGTGGATAAGTATTAAAAGTATTTACAATTAATTAACATATGTTTAAAATATTATTTCGAGTATTGATAAGAAACTAAAAGGAGTAAGACTATCTGATAAAGATATGTGAAATTAAATCAATTATAATTGCGTGGGTAAATGCTGATGGACGTCATGTTGCGTCGAGTACAATGAATTAAGAACACAACTATAGGAATTAACAATGAGAAGAAACTTTCAACACTTTCGATACATAAATAACATGCAAATATGTTCATATTTACAGAGATGCAATCGTACAAATGCCAAAGGTTTATTTCTTGATAGTATTTGATGTCGACTATTCGCTGAGTTGTTAGAAAAATGAACAATTTCTGATTGGGTATTTTACAGAATCTTCTCTCATCTCGTGAAAACGTGCTTCAAATACGGAATTAAAATCTCGGCTGAAGTATGCGATAATAGTCAAATTAACAACTACATTAGCAAACAAATGTCGTTTCCAGTATTTCTTACACACGCGGCCAATAGGAATGTTATAATAATGCATTTGCACAAAGTTAGACAGACAGTTAAAGATGAAGTCTATCCCAAGGCCAATCGAAATTCTTTTAACAAACTCCAATAACAAAGGTCTAACATCGATTTCGAAACTTTCAAGCTGGTAAAAGATCAGATAGGCTTGGCTTAAAACAATAGTATTGTATTCAAAAGTATATCTTGAATTTCAAGGTCAGCTTTAACCGTCTTGTAGGTGCAGTGTTCCATGGTAAAACTTGTAGTCGTTGAAAACAGCCTAAACCCTGCAATTTTGAATTATTTGTTTCCAAACGTTGTAGCAGATTTGCTGAGTGGCTTTTTCAAAAATTCAAAACCGCTGAAAACAATGAAAGACCAATAAAAGCGAAATACTTTTGAAGTCGGACTGCATTGTTCTGAAGATAAATATGGCAGCTCCTCGTATAACATATACCAAAATGAAACTACGACCTGGATGAACGATTTCATCACTTCTTCTCAAAGCCATATGCTTACATAAAATCGCAGGAATAATAGTGAGTGCTGGAGAGGTTATCGCCACGAGAAATTTATATAGCTCTTTGCGAAAGCCATTAAACGCAGGAATAAGTTCGTACCGGTTAGCGTAAGAGATGAAAGCGCAAAATATAAATTCCATCAGAAGAAGCGCTATGATATGACAATTAGAGTAAGTGACCTGCTGATCACAAGCACGAATATTGTAAAGGATCACAAAGCCGGAACAAAATAAAGAGACAAAAAAAAATACTTGGAGGGATTCTGTAGTAACTATGTATATCGTAAAATTGAACTGAAATGAAATCAAGTGATAAATAACGACCAACTCTCCGAATATGACACAAACATAAAGCGCAGATGTGAACTTTTCTTTAAATTCTTTCCATCCGAATAACATCATCATTGATAATGGAAACCATAAATATAACACAAACGACTGCACGCAATCACCAAAGACGTGAACACGTTTCACAGATAATGGTAATGTCTTGTTTTTATGATTTCGCCATGCCAAGCAGCTGTAGGTGGTATTCGTGTCAACATACACCAATGTCAAAGCAAAAAGAGTTGGCAAGATGGTAGCAAACGTGAGATTGATACTTGTTGATAAACTTTTCCACAAAGATGATGTAAAGTTTCTGGAATGTTGCATGTTACTGCAGCATGTTTCAAGTTGACTTCCATCATCCATGAAGATTTCACTTTCGTCGTTCAAATCAGACTGGTCATATTCTTTGTTTATATATCTACTTCTGGAATCATCTTCCATTAGTCTATAATGTATATTTCCATCAGTACTCGAGTTCTCTTGCTCATGTTGGGCAGATAAAGACACTCTCGGCGTTTCGGTTACGAAAAGTGAAAAAATCGATAAACTAAACCCAATTATTTCCTCTAGCATGGCGATAAAGATCGAACGTGAATAAGAAAAATCATAAAATCAGAAAACTTTACTGTTTAAATATAAACGTCTTTGAAATATGAACTCTTTCGCTAAAAGGAAATCCTTTTAAGATGTAAATTTTTTCGAGAAACCTGTTCTGTTGATTTAGCGTCTTTTGAAAGCCATTGTCAATTCATAACAAAATACAATTTATTCTTACCGCAATAATCAATAACTGACGTGTTTAAAAAGGTAGTGAACAGATTCTTAGAACGTACACCATGAAAGTTTTCTGTAAATATCGAACTAGAAAAACAGTAATAAGTGCCTGAGTGAAGTAACACACAACGAAAGCAAGGTAAACGAATTGCCAAGAAAGTGTCTGCTCCAACATTGTGCCCAAATCTGCGCAATGGGAACGGTGAACCAATATAGAAAAATAAATACGGATATTATATTGAAAACAAACTCTATTGATAGTCCAATGGCGAGTCTTTTAATCAATTCTTCCAAAATATTCCACTCAGATACTTGGAAACTTGTCATCGTGTATAAAATCAAGGATATTTGACTGATTGATTAAGGTGTGTCCTCAAAAAGAATATTTTGTATTTCAACATTCGCTTGCAGCCGTCTTGAGTTCTGTTATGATGCTCAAGTCTTATCACCCAAATACGAATTTTTTTATTAATATTGTTATTCTCGTTCGCATTGCTTGGTCTAACTGATTTGTCTCGTAAAATATTAGGAATGTCTGCAGTAAACGCTGAAAACCGTGACGAAAGAAATGCAATAATTACCTTAAACAGTTTTCAAAAGTGAAATATACTTGTGTGATAGTACTTCCTATTAACTTCACAAACTTGCCTTCCGAGAATCCTTTACATGCAACGCAATTATACACGTCCGGAGCACTTTGAGACAGCGGTGATCAATAATAATGACGTAGAATTGGGTGTATTGTATAATCCGTATTTATTTGATCTAAATCTCATACAATTACCAATTTAGATCACATAATACAACAAAACAATAAACTTTAACATTAACAAACTTACGTCTATGGCACCTTTATTCTACGACTGGTTAGCTAATTCAAGTTCATAAATGTTATTCTTTTGACTTCACCTTGAGACTGACCTGTAACTTTAGTTAAGCACTTGACGCATTTACATTACTTATTTACATAAATAATCACCGAAACAACGTCTCTAAAAAACCAAATCTACTTCCTCCGTCATGGTTCTCTTCTACATGTAATTGAGTGGCCGTATATCTCTTTCACTTCGCACACTGTGACTTAGTTATGTGAACTAAATATGGATAATCACGTGGTTTCGCTTTCGTAATATAACCTAAGGGTCGAAGAAAGTAATTGCTTCTTTTGTTAACAAGATGCAAGTTGATTTTTATCAATTTGTGGTTACTTTTCATCTTCAGCTATCATATTCAGAGTATCAACGCAGTCTTTGCACGACAAGTTTTGAGCATTCGTTACTAATATATTGCAGAAAAGATGCAGTGCAAACTTACGTCAACTGACTTCCCTTAATGTCAAGCATACACGAGCATTTATTCTATATACGATAAAGAGTTTCCAAATAACTCAGTGGAATATTCAGAAGCAACTGACCAAATGACTCACAATTGAACTATCCGTAGAGCTTGTTTTCAATACAATATCCGTATTCATTTACTTCAACGTTCCCATTGCTCAGGTTTGGGAAAAATGTTGGCAGAGATGGTTTGGCTAATTTATTTATCCTTGTTATAATTGTGTGTAACTTTTAGTCATAGTGGAGTTTTTCTTTGGAACAGCTTGCCAGAATTTTTAAGGGATTGTTCCAGGCAGCAAAAGGCAAGCTCAATTAAAAGAACGATTTAAAGACAAACGTCATTTGAATAAAATATCACATTCAATTTAACATGAGTTCATGAAATTCAAAATTGGAGCATATTGGTAAAATGCAAGTGTGATGGATGTTGACATGCTGCCTAAATTTGGCCAAATTCTTCTGGGTAGAAAAACGCAAGCGAGTTTCGACTGACAAAGCAGTGGGTGTTACCACGAAGTGCTTCAGTCAAAAAGTGTCTGGCGTTTCTTTTCATGATGCTTGTCCAGAGAAAATATTCAGTGTGAATAACGAATGTGTTTATTTAGACCATCCAAACAAACGTGCATGCAACTGGTTCTAAAGTTCTAAGCAACACTGAACACGAATAAAACAACGAAGCAAAGTACAAGATGTATATGGGGATTCTCTAGTAATGTTTTGGACCATCTTTAACATTGAATTGAAAACAAATCAGTATATATAACAAGTAATTCTCCAGATATAAGATATATATAAACAATGGAGAAAAACTTTGTCGTGAACTCCTTTAAACCAAGTAGTATCATCAAAGTGAGTGGGACCCACATATAAATTTCAAATGATTCCACGTCATCTCCCAAAACGCGGACGCGCTTTACAGATGATGGTAGCGTGTTGTTGTTGTTGCCGCGTTTCTGCCATTCCCAACAAATGTAGGTTGTATTCATGTTGACGTAAAGAAATACCATGGCTTTGTTGTTGTTGTGATTCTGCCATTCTTGACAAACTTCGGTTGAATTCATGTTAACCTAGCGAAATACAATGGCAACAGATGCCTGTACGATGCTCGCCAAAGTGATATTTAATGTTGTCAATATACTATTCCGAAACGAATCACAGAATTTTCTGCGAGTCATTTGCATGTTATCGACGACGGTTGCATTTTGAGATCTTAAACTGGACAATAGAACACTTGTTTCACTATAGTTGTCTTCAACACCGAGGTACTCATATTCTTTGTTTATGTACCAATTTTGAGCATTATCAGACTCAAAGTCAACATCAGTGATTTCTAGATTTTCGGTTTCCTCATCAGAAGACACTTGAGGTGTTTTGAAGAGTGAAAACACAGATAAAATAAATGTAACTATCTCCTCTAGCATTGAAACGACGATCGAATAAAGTTTTTTCTTATATTCCACGTATAAAAAAGGACGATTAATAAACAGCACCTAGATAGATAAACCAGGTAAAGTCCAGTGCTTTAGAAGGGGCGCTTGGGGAGGAGCCCCTTCTACCTTTAAAATGGGTAATTTTTCATAATTTCATGGCTTCAGCTTCGTCAAGAGAGCCCCATCCTGAAAAATTTAGTTATACAGCACTGAGGTAGACATACGGAATTTAATGTTTTGAAAAGCTTTCCCGTAGTTCTTAGCACGAAAACAACAAAAGTCCGTCAGCACATGCTAATCTCATGATAATAAAATCATGAACTCTTTAACATTTCACGACAACATTTTAACGCTATTTCATAGGTCTTCATTACACACGTGACTCAACTTAATGTTTACACAAACCTTGGACAGCACGTGCTTACCTTAAGACATATCACGACAAAGATTCCAAACTTTACAGTTTACTGAACACTTTTATAGAACTATGTCCACATGAAGTACCAACCATGTTTATCCAACAAGGAATATTACTCTAAAAAGGAAAGAGAACAAAAATAAACAAAAATCTGACAACCGAAATTTGCAGTTTAATATACGTCACGGGAATATGATGTTGTGGCGGCGAGAGCTGGAAAAAAAGGGGGGGTTAACATATTAAAGCTCATTCAAAGTCATTTACACGTAACACTTATTTGATTGATGTTGCTAGAAATTTATAAAGCTTTTTTCGAAAGCCATTAAACGCAGGAATAAGTTCGTACTGGTTAGCGTAAGAAATAAAAGCACAAAATACATTTTCCATTAGAAGAAGCGCTGAAATATGACAATTAGAGTAAGTGACGTGGCGATCACAAGCACGAACATTGTAAAGGATCACAAAGCCGGAACAAAATAAACAGACACAAAATAAAATACTTGGAGGGATTCTGTAGTAGCTATGTGCATCGTAAACATTAAACTGAAATGAAATCAAGTGGTAAATAACGACCAACTCTCCGAATATGACACAAACATAAAGCGCAGATGTGAACTTTTCTTTAAATTCTTTCCATCCAAATAACATCATCATTGACAATGGAAACCATAAATATAACACAAAAGACTGCACGCAATCACCAAAGACGTGAATACGTTTCACAGATAATGATAATGTCTTGTTTTTGTGATTTCGCCTTGCCAAACAGCTGTAGGTGGTATTCGTGTCAACATACACCAATGTCAAAGCAAAAAGAGTTGGCAACATGGTAGCAAACGTGAGATTGATACTTGTTGATAAACTTTTCCACAAAGATGATTTAAAGTTTCTCGAATGTTGCATGTTACTGCAGTATGTTTCAAGTTGACTTCCATCAGCCATGAAGATTTCACTTTCGTCGTTCAAATCTGACAGGTCATATTCTTTGTTTATATATCTACTTCTGGAATCATTTTCCATTAGTCTAAAATGTATATTTCCATCAGTACTCGCGTCCTCTTGCTCATGTTGGGCAGGTAAAGACACTCTCGGCGTTTCGGTTACGAAAAGTGAAAAAATCGATAAACTAAACCCAATTATTTCCTTCAGCATAGCGATAACGATCGAACGTGAATAAGAAGAATTATGAAATGAGAAAACTTTACTATTTAAAGCGAGTCGAATTAATGCAGGAATGCAGCAACGCTTTACTTTGTGCTCTAATGTCCCTATAGTACTGTACTCTTGTGCAAATGTTCTCACGGAAATCGTCTTTGAAATGTTAATCATGCAAGGAATCCATTTTGATGTAAATTTTTTTGAAAGACTTTCTTTGTTGATTTAGCGTCTTTCGAAGCCTTATCAATTTAATTTTGTACGAGCAATTTAGAACGGGAAGTATTGAATAAATAGGTATACTTATTCAACCTGCAAAGTTTGTTGTCATTCGCAATCTGTTGCGAAATGAGATGTTTGTTCGTGATATGTGTTTGTGTGATGTCAATAATAATATAGGGGATGTAAAAATTGTCAGTATAAAATAGTGTATGAGAAAATAAATAATAAAAACAAGGTAAGCATCTTTCTCTTGCTGTAAGCAAAAGCATTACTAAAGACGTAACAGGATGGTAAAACGGGAACTATTTACGTTAAACTATACGCACATGCATGCATTTGGCATGGGAAGTTCGAAACACTCAGTTGCCGAGGAAGACCTTGTTTCCAATCGTGGGAAAGAGGAAACTTTGTAATTTTATTACGCATTTCGGATTTTGTTGAACGTATTAACGCATTGTGGCGCTTTGAGAGACCCTTCAAGTGATGTATTTGATATTAATATTCGTGGTAACGAACCAACGTTTGTCGTCAAAAGTCGCGACAGTGTAAATATCCTATATCGTTGTCAATATATATTCGAATTAAATACAGTTCCATTGAATCGTGATCCAGCATCCCGCACAACAGAATGTTTAGGCTGTGCGACCCAATGAATGTACAATATTCAGGGACTCGCGCAGCAGCGCAGGGCACTTAGATAAATGTGTGTTTCTATTAGGGGGTGGGGGAGGGGGTGGAACACACAGTTTTCTGCATCTTCCAGAATTGATAAATATCAGATCACGATTTTTTCGACAAGAAACGTGGACTTGAAGGCTTCAATCTTTAATGATTGGTCATCTGACAACAACTTAAAAAGTTAAAAATACAGACACAATAAACAGGTATGTTCAACTTTGACTAAAAGAACGAACAGTTCCTGATAACAAACTTTACAGAACTCTCCTCAGACTGTTTAATATGTGATCGAAACACGGACTCCAGGTCTCTACTAAATTCAGCAATAATGATGAACACAACAAATATATTAGCCAATAAATGTCGTTTCCAGTACTTCTTCCACACGCGGCTAATTGGAATGTTGTAATAATACATTTGCACGAAATTCGACAAACAGTTGAAAATGAAATCTATTAAAACACCAATTCCAATTCTTTTCAGAAACTCATACAACAATGGTTCAAAGGCGACGTCAAAACTTTGAATCTGATATGAAATGAAGTAGCCTTGACTCAAAACAAGGGTGTTGTATTCGAAAAGCATATCTTGAATTTCTAAGTCAGCTCTTAACCGTCTCGCATGTGCAGTATTCCATGGTAAAACCTGGAGTCTTTGAAAACAACGTATATTGTTTAAAGCTGAAATTATTCGTTTCCATATTTTATAACGAAGTTGTTGGGTTGCCTTTTTTAAGAAATTAAGAACCGCTGAAAACAATGACAGACCAATGAAAAGCCAAATACTTTTAAAGTTTGTCTGCATCGTTCTATAAAGGAATATAACACCACCTCGGATCATGTACACCAGGACAAAGCTACGACCAGGATGAACGACTTCTGAACTTCTTCTCAACGCCATATGCCCACACAACACTGTAGGAATGAGCGCTAAGAATGGTGACGAGGTGGCAATCAAGAATTTATACAAGTTTAGACGAACTTTATTGAATCCAGGGATGATTATAAAAATGTTAAGATAAGAAAGTATTGTACTAAAGATAAATTCAATCAGAACAAGCGCTATAACGTGACCTTTAGAATACGAAATGGAAGGTGCTCTAACTCGGATGTTGTAAATGACTACCAGTGCGCAGCATAATATCGAGAGACAAAATATTGCACTTGCAGCGTATTTGTAGAAGGTATATTTATCATAAACATTGAACTGAAATGAAATTAAATGATAAATAGAGACCAACTCTCCGAATATGACACCAACATATATCGTGGATAAAAACTTTGCTTTAAATTCTTTCCATCCAAATAGTATTATCAATGTCAATGGCAACCATAAATATACTATTATCGACTCCACGCAACGACCAAAAACGTGAGCACGTTTTACAGATAACGGTAATGTGTTGTTGTTGTGATTCTGCCATTCCAAACAATTGTAGGCGGTATTCATTGACACGTATACAAGCGTTATGAAAAATGCAATAGGAATGATGGAGGCTGCAATGATGTTTAAGCTCGTCCACAAACATTTCCATAAAGTCTTCCAAACTTTTCCTTTATTTTCACAGTCCTCAAAACTTATTACATGTTGATTTGAGAGACAAGCGAAATTTTTCGTAAATATTTCATCACGAATATCGTCGTCGTATTCTTTGTTGATGAAAGTGTTTGGTGTATCCTTTTCAATTCTTTCAAATTCGAAATTCACGTTTTCGAGTGCAGATTCACGGTTAGAACTAACTCTCGGTGTATCTGTAGTAAAAAGCGAGCAAAGCGACAAGGAAAACGCGATTATCTCCTCAAGCATTTTAAATTTGTTCAAGTGATGACTAAATTGAAATTGAGATGAATTAACACATTGTTTTTTGATGCAGTTCGCCAGTTCAGGTATGTTGTATGGCAACACTGGAGAGAAAGACATGGCCTCCTTGTTCCCTGAGGGTTATTTGAAGGGTGAACTAAGCACTTCGTACATGGTTGTAGCAATATCTAATACATTTTTCTCAATAATTGTTATGTTTTACGCACAATTAATGGGACTCGTTGATTTGTGACAGATAAGGCAGAAATCATGGGAACAAGTGCAAATAAACATATAATGTTCAGTTTATATTCCATTCAACGCTGCAATAAGTTAATTAAAATTATAAATTTCCTACTTAAACGTGGTTCGCCTATCTGAATTGGATTTTGTTCGTAGGCATTGACTGTATAGACATCCTCTTTACTACAATTTTAAAAAAGTTCAAAAGACGATGCGCCCATTCAGTTTAAAGTAAGAGTGACCTCATTCTTCCCATGGTAAAGTTACTAATTACTATGTAAGTCTCATTACAGTTGCGCTGTTTTATCTGGGATTCATAATTTAGAATAATATTTTTCGCGGAAATTTTTTATTTTGCGTTGTGTTAATATTTTGTACATGTAGCCAAAACCTATTACCAATTAACAAAAGTACGTCAGAAGTCCTTCTAGAAACTCCTGCTAAAGATTATTGACTTTGTCAATCCCAAAAAGTTGAAGACGTGAATAGACGGATTTTGAATTCAAAGAACTCGCAAATGAATTATTTATATCGTAGTTATTTTAACAAAGAATACGACGATGACATGGATATAAATGACAACAATGATAAAATTTTAATTTCGGAGATTACGAATGAAGGACTTCAGAACACAGCAAACTTGCAAAATGCTAGAAACATTTGCATATTTCTTCTAAAAAGTACGTGCATGACGATTCACAACCTCCTAGAGGTTATTCTTTTAACTGTTATGGACATGGCCCTGATCTTAAACATCAACATTATTTACAGATGTCTACAATGGCGAAATTATTTCAACAGTCTACTGTTGTTTGTTGCCAAGTTGTCGTCTTTTGAAGTTTATGTGCGTACAATATTTCGAAAACATGTGATATTTATTGACGTATTAAAAGCTCATATGCAGGGGCGGATCTAGAGTATGTCAAATCCGTCGCGCGACTGATGTTTGAAATTCAAAAATTACGTATTCATATTAATTAAAAACATTAATTATTCTTACTTTAGTATCGCATTTACTTCGTGATAAAAATCCAGCTTTATTTATTATTGAAAACTAATGACTAATGCAATGAATATCTCGTTGGTAACCAGATCAGTTGAATTTTAATTGACCTGGAATAACCCACTGGAAAGCGGAGTGGCTTGACTGGCTCGACTGATAAAGGAGTCCATGAACGCCAAAAACGCTTATTTCATTGGTCAATAGCCAGATCAGTGGATGATCTGGAATAATCTCGACCGATAAGCGGGGTGGCCGGACCTATAAGGGAGTCCACTTGCTATCGTGTAATTGGTTCGTTTAAATTTTTGTCTTACTGTGATTGGTTTGACCGATTTCGACTGATAGCCAACTGAACTAACATAGTCAAGCTCACTGTCTGAATTGAATGTTTGATCGTTTCATAGTAATTTTCTAAAGCATGATAGAAACTAAACTACAATCAGATGGAATTTATGGAAATCTTTTACAAATTCATATATTGACATGAATGCTGCTTTCCAAACTGGGAATTTTTTCAAGAGGGCGAAAAATTTATGGATGAATTGTAAATGCTTGGAAAAGACGATCTCACGAGCGACATTTCAGTCATTGATGTTCAAAAGCAAGCCAACATTGTTTTGAGTTTTATCAGCAGAAATTTACATCGAAAATCGTAAGTAAAGGACAAGTGAAGTGTATGCATGAATGTAATATATCAAAGTCAATTTATGCGAGTGTGTGATGCGATTTATGTTAATATGGCGTATGGTAAGCAGATTGGTGCTTCTAAAATTGTTGTTGACGAAGAACTTTTAGCTATGATTTCTTTAGTGCTTGGGGAATCGTGACCGTTATATGGCAGCGAAATCCTACATTCCTGCAAATATATTTCAATGGACAAAAATCTGTAGCCATAAGGCGCCATACTTATATTTACTTTATCATAAACAAATGTTTGGGGCTTTTCAGTTTATAATCATTGATCATTCAATCATTAGACAGTTATACTACATATTGTTTAAGATTTGAGAAAACTAACATTGATTACATGAGAAGCTGTTTACTATAACCTGTGATTTTGAGTCTTCTGATCCATGAAGCTTTTTATTTTGACAATTTGACTGAAATGGTATTAAACCTAAGTATTTCACATACATGAAATGTTGTCCCATGTCACATATTGTCCC